AACAGAAATGGAGGGAAGGAGGGATCCTGGAAGAGGTACAAAATGTAGAAAGGAGGTCTCTCTTCTCCATCTTTATAGTCTTTATATATTTGTATATCTTTATATATTTAACCAGACCTAAAATAAGAAAATAAAAATGGAAAAATAAAAAATAAAATGAAAGAAGTTTTATAAGCAAGAAAGGACCAGTAAGAGTAAAGTACATTTTTAAAAAAACAGAAAGAAAAGACAGAAAGAAAGGAAACAAAAGAGAGAGAAGTTTAAAAACAAGAAGTTTATAAGAAGGCAATAAAAATGACACTGGGCCGGGGAGAAAGCTCAGTGGCATGAGCACCTGCCTGGCAATCTTAAGGTCCTGAGTTTGACTCCTGGTACAAAAAAAAAAAAAAAAGAAAAGAAGGAAGGAAGGAAGGAAGGAAGGAAGGAAGGAAGGAAGGAAGGAAGGAAGGAAAAAAGGAAGGAAAAAAGGAAGGAAAAAAGAAACCCGGAAAATAAAATATTTGTTAAATGAAAATGCATGCAAAAGGACATTTTAAAAGGAGGCGTGAGGGGCTGGGGAGAAAGCTCAGAGGCATACACACCTACCTGGCAAGTACAAGGTCCAGAGTTCGATCATGCCTATAATCCCAGCACTCAGGAGGTTGAGACAGGAGATTCACTAGGAGTTGGAGACCAGCCCAGGTGCTACAAAAGTGAGCACAGGGCTTCCCCGAACTGCATGGTGAGACTCTGTCTTAAAAATAAAGATAAAAAATAAAGATGGGAGCAAGTAAGAATAGAGAATATGGAGAAGACAGAATGAAATTTTTCTGGAAGAGGGATCGGGAGGAAAATCTTGGAGCTCAGTTCCATAGAACAGTAGCTATGGTGTTCTGCCTCTGAGACAATGGATCCTTCACAACAACAGACTTGCACTTGTAGTGATAAGAATGTTTCAGACAGGCATCCTATACTGGGCCATCCCAAATCCCTTCTGAGAAAGATATAAACTAAAGGCCACAGTATTACACAGGTTATTGGTATTGTGACCTGCAGTGTCTCCAGCAGTTGTTACACTGCTCTACATCCTGTATGGGAAAAAAGCCATGCTTTCCTTGAGCAGGATGTGGTTTTTCCTTTCTCCCAGAAGACAGTTCTGTCTTGTTAGAGCTAAAGTATAGCTTTAAGTACACAGGTAATTTTATAAATCCTGTTGTCCTTCTCCCCCATCACATCTCGTAAGGTCTCTCAACCTTGGCACTATTGGCACTTGAGGACATGGAACCCTTTCTTTGTGGGGACGTTCTGGGTAGAATAGGATGTGTAACAGCATCCATGGCCTCTAGCCACTACCGGAAACACCCCTGCTCTATTTGTGCAAATCAGAAATGTCTCTGGACATTTCCAGATGTTCCCTGGAGAACAAAATTGCCTCCCATTGAGAACCACTGACTGTCCCCTTCAATTCCATTGGCATATGGTTCTTCTCTTATTGGGCATGAAATGATAAATAGAATCAATCTGGGATACTTTTGTCGTCTCCACTGTTTAAATAAACATCTTTTTTTTTAAGTTTCCATCGCACAGTTAAAGAAAATGTATTACACTGCCAATGTCCAGCAAACACAAGGACGTCAAGAACTAAAACATAATTAAAATATTATGATTAGAAATTAGTGCTTTGTAGAAATACTGCTATTGGATAATGACCTTTTCTATTTACAATGCATCCTCTGTCCTTTTTATTTTTAATCATTTTTTTTTCAGTCCTGGGAATCAAACTCATGACCTCACACTTGCCAAGCAGGCACTGTGTTAAATTCCCTGCCCTTTTTTTTAATCAAATGATGGATTTTGCATAATGCTTACCAACAATGCCTCAGCCTTTACTGCTCTCTAGATTAGACTAATAATTGCTCAGTGGGTGGCACTGTCTCCACTCTCCTATGAAAACAGTAGTCCACATTTTTCAGCTGACAACTCTCCAAGCACAGCTCAGAACCCTACCTTTCCCATAGCTCCTGCTCCTAACCTTTCTACTTTTCTGTACCCAACAAGATCCCAAGACATTTCTTTATCCTGAGCCTGTTTGTGCCACTCTTTGCTCAGCAGTTCTGCCTACTAGGGAGGTTTTACCCACATCTCATGCTTTACCTTACAGATTGATGAATGCACATGCTTCTATTTCTAGAGCCTGGGGCCCCAGGTACCTAGTGGGTCACCCTGCCAATGCTCTCACTCATTATCCTGCCTTTCATTTGGCTCTGGTCTTTGCAGACCTACAGTAACTTGCATCACTTCACTAGCAGCAGAAATATTTTATTCTGTGACATATTTTTCTGCAGCAGTGGGTATTGCCCACTCTTGTTCTCTTGTTCCTTTTAGAAAAGGCCAACTGATTAGTGGCTGTTGTCATTTTAACATTTCCACCCACTTCTCAAGTAGGCCTCCTTCACCCATGGAGAACCAGTACTACCTACTGCATCAAAGTGTGTTTTTTTCCTTTTGCTTTCTAGCTCAGCTATTGATTTTTCTAATAAATTCCTCCAGATTCAACCTTTTTGGACCCCCTAATGGCTCAGACTTTCAAGGAACCTCCACCTTTCTATTTCTTTCCCAAATATGGTGTTTATGTGTCTGAGGCAAGAAGTGTGGCTGATGCACTTACTCCTCTAGGGGTTAGCAGTTGGGCATCACTAGAAGCTTGTTAGAAATTAGATTGTCAGTACCCACTCCAGATGTTTTGACCCCTGCGCACTTCCTGCATACATTAATGTTTGGGAAGCATTGACTTCCATCTCATGGAGGCAAAATAGAGACAGTGTTTGAATGAAATGTCCTCTGTCTCCCCTCACCTCCAAAGAGGTGTCCCTGTCCACTCTGAGAGTGCCTTACCTGTTGACATTCATAGTTAAAGTCTTCCATCAGTTCATGACCCACACTTTGGTCTCCCTGGTTTAGTAGATACTTGCCCCCCCAACTCTATGCTGGGTGCTGCCTCATAATACTTAAGATACAGTCCTCATCCCCCACACAGTGACTCCCAATAGCCAGCTCCTCAGCCAGACTCTTATCCCTGTCTGGCCCATGTTAACACCATATGGGAACAGAGAACAGCCTAGGAAAGTAAAATCTCAGAGAAAACCTTGCTGTACCTAACCACACGGTGGTACAAAGGTAGCCCAAGTGAGAAGGAAGAGGCAAGTGTGACAGTGGCCAAAGAGATCTCTTTCTAGAATCCTAAATGGAGGGTAGAGTGGTGAATCCATTGTGGCTCACCATGTTAACCTCACTTAGTCAAGACTCAGAGCAAGGCACATGGGAAACCAAATTAGACTTCTTTACTCTCCCGCCTTTCTGTCTCTCCCACTGCCCTTCCATTTCCCCACCACTTCTGTGCTGCTAAACAAATGACTTTTTTGGGGCTGGTGAGATGGCTCAGTGGTCTAAAGCACCTACTTAGAACAAGCTTAGCAAAGCACAAGGACCGCGGTTCAATCCCCCAGCACCACATGCCAGCCAGCCCCGCCCCCTGGTGGGCTGAGTTGGCCACACACACACACACACACACACACACACACACACACACATAAATAAAATTTAAAAAAAAAAGAAATGACTTTTTTAAAGTAACTTTCCTCAGTTATATTCCCTTTCTTTCTGGCCCCAGATAACTCCTAATGGTGAACAAAAGTATTTACATACAGTATACTAAAGAATTTTCCAAGTTTTCCAGACTTAGGAAAAATGATCAAGGGAAGGTAATATTTAGGGAAGATCTTGAGACACTTGCATGGCTTGCAAGGCTTACTGTCTTGCCTTGTAATCCTATTTTTGGATGGCAGATGCTACATATATGTCATAGCATCCCTCGTGTTACAAATTCTAATCCCTAGAAGGGCCTCTAGCCCCTCCTCGCACCAAAGTAAATGCCACTGTAAAACTGAGGCAAGGGGAACTTAAGGAGACACAAAATGTGAAAATTTGTGAATCAGTGGCCTGGTTGCACAATGGTGGTTTCACAGTTCTCCAGCTTCCAAACCAAATATTACTATGGGTCCCCAGACATATGCCTTGAAGGCATGCTCATTGTAAAGATATGTAAAATGTAGAAAATATATATCATACAGTACCCTAATAAAGCAGGGAAAAAGCACGATCAGAATTTCACTGAAGAAGATATACAGATGGTAAATAAGAACATGAAAAGCTGTTTAACATCTTTAGTCATTAAGGAAATGCAAATAAAGCTCAATAAGATATCACTACAGGGGGATGGGGAGATGGTTCAGTGGAATAAGCACTTCCCTGGCAAGCGCAAGGGCCTGAGTTCAAGCTCCGGTTCCGCAAAAAAAAAATACAGAATGGTTGGAATTTAAATAACAGATCATGCCAACTATTTGAAAGGATATGGAACAACTAGTGCATTCTTACATTACTGGTGAAAATTTAATGACACAATTACAGTGGAAGACAGACGTAAGTTAAATTTACATCTACCATATGATCCTATTATTCCACTCCTAAGTATGTGCCACCTAAAAGTCAAAATATATGTCCATGTAAGGAGCGGCACAGCAGTGTTCATGCCAGCACTATTAGTAATAGACCAAACCTAGGAACAAATCTAAATGCCTTTTAACAATACATAACATAGAAATCTATTCAGTAACAAATGCAATAAACTGTTAGTACACATGTCAATATGAATGAATCTCAGAATAATCATCCCAAATGAGAGGAGCTAGGCAAAAAAGCACATCCTGTGTTATTCCATGTATATGACATTCTTGGAAGTGGAAACTAACTTATTATAGCAAGGTGTATGGTTGTCTGGAGGATGAACTATGAAGGAGCACAGGGAAATTGAGGGGGTGATGGAAATGTGATTGTGGTGTTGGTTCCATGGGTTTCTGTGTGTCAAAAGTGAAAATGATACATTTTTAAATATTGCAGTTTATTAGACTTCAATTGTAATTACTGTTTTAAGATTACACAATTTTCCTTTTATTTATTTTTAGGGTCTCTTTACTTTCCTAAAACTAATAACAAGATTTGTGCTTGTGCTCAAAAATTATCACCCTTATTACCCTGTAAGCAGGATGTACAAAATAACGCAGCAGAACAAAAGGTAAAAAGTTGTACATTTCATATGTTTTGTATTAATCATTAGTTTATCAAATCAACTTTTATTTCTATAAGATAGCTCCTTCAGGGGGCCAGGGAGATAGTTCAATAGAATAAATGCTTGCCTGGAAAGCACGGGGTCATGAGTTCAATCCCTGGTACTGCGAAAAAAAGAAAAAAGGTAACTCCTTCACTGGCTTGGTACTTACAGGTAAGAAATCATGGAATCATGGGATCCTACACAGGTCTTAAGTCTCCCTGGGAAAGCAGTTATTGAATCAGCTTCATGCTATGTGTACCATGTAGCTCAGCAGAAATGAAGTTAAACATATGATGATAACAGCCAACATTGTTGTGGGCCAGATGCTGTGCTAAACTAGAAAGAAGAGAAAGGAGAAAATAAGTGACATAGAATACAAAGACAAAAAAGTCCCTCTCTCAAGGTCAGACACACATAAATGAAAGTCCTTACAGTAAAATGAAAGGGAAGTTTTGATTTGTACAACATGCAATGGGCCTGCAGATGACCAAGAGACTAATCTTGCTTAGAGAGGTCTAAAAGGCTTTATTAAAGTAAATGTAATTGAATTAATTCAGTCTTAAAATCTAAGAAGTTTCCAGATTAATGTATTATGAATGCAGTGAAGTAGTGACTGCAGATGAGCAAAAGTATAAATGACAGCATGGTATTGTGAGCCAGGATAGCCAAACAAGTTATCAAAAATGAAAATGGAAATGGAAGTTGAAACCAGAGCCTTGTATCCCTTGCTAAAGCATCTCCTCAGTGACAGGGAGCCACTGGAGGATTTTCCGTAGGGATGTGAAAAAAAGAATAGTTTTGGATTCAAAAAAGATAATCTGGGGCCGGGGAGATGGCTCAGTGGAATAAGCGCTTCCCCGGCAAGTGCAAGGGCCTGAGTTCAATCCCCGGTTCCAAAAAAAAAAAAAAAAGATAATCTAGTTGCAGTATGAGATAGATGAGAGAGACAAAAAATGTCAGAGGTAAGATAATTTCAAGTCTGCTGGAATAGCCCAGATAAAATGTAGGAGCTCAAACCAAGGCAGTGGCAATTAGGGTGAGGGACCACAGACTCAAGATAATTCAGAGTCAAACTGCTTGTTTTTCTTTTTATTTGTACTATACACGCATGCAGCACAGAATAATTACATTCATCTTGGGGAGTTGAGACATGTACATAACACATCTTAATTCTCTTTTCACCCCTTTCCTCTCCCCTCTTTCCTCCTTCATGAAAGATCTATCTCCTTGTTTTCTGTTAGCTTTTATTTTGCTCTTTATTCATGTTTTGCATTTCCTATATAAGAGAAACCATGTGATATTTAAATTTATGTATCTGATTTATTTCATTTAGCGTTGTCTAATGCCAAATGTACATGCATTTTCCTACAAATAATGTAAATTCATCCTTCTTTGTGTCAGAGCAGTACTCCATTGGTGACGCAATAGTGTGTGGATATAGAGAAAAAAATGATGATGGTCCTGGTGATAATTCATTACTATTTTAGTTAGCTTTTCCATTGCTGTACACAGTATCTGACACTAACTACTTAAGGGAGGAAAGGTTTACTCTGTTCATAGTTTATGGGGATTCTGTCCATGGTTGGCTGCCAGAAGGATACAGCAGAGCAAAGCTGCCTAGATCATAGCTGCCAGGAAGCAGAGTAGGGTGATAGAGTCAGAAGAACTGGTGAGAGGCCATATAGTACCCAAGGCTATGCCTCCATGACCCACACACACAGGCGTGTGCTTTACTAATCTGTAGGTAGTTTCTTTTTTTTTTCAAAATTTTATTGATAAACAGATAACAATGAGACAGTTTCAAATCAAATCAGAAGTACAGATTCAACAAATAACACACTGCATATATTCTTCTTAGTGGTTAATTGCTGTACAAGATGCGGACTTGAGATCCTATTTATAAACACCATTAGAACAAATCATTCTATTCATTAAGAGAATGCAACTATATATCTATCCTAACCACTTTGAATACACAGATACAAAATGGACTGTAGGTAGTTTCTTAAGCTAATAAAGTTGACAAGTCAGGATCCATGGTTAGAATGATAATGCTGTTTCAGTTTTTATGTATGGGTTTCGATGAATGAGATATCTTTTTTCTCGGCTCCCGTAGTACTCAGACTTACCTCTATCTCAGAACTCATTATACTTTGTCATATTTTTCTATTCTACTGCATGATAAGCTCCTTAAGGTCATCAATTATATATCTTATTTCAGTTCCATACAGTATGCCCAGTAAGCATTAGATTGGGTTGGATTGGTCCTATCTTAAGTACAATGATTAGCTTTTTAGAATGGACCACGATGTAGATTGCCATACTTGTAACGAATATAAGGAATAAAAGAGGAGAAACAAGTTTGGAAACATTATGTACACAGGCTTGATTTGGAATGAGATTTACGTACCTGTGAGAGATATCAATAAGGAGGTTGATGATACGGATTACATTGAAACCAGTGCTTAGGAGAGAGGCAGGGTTTGGGGAATGGTACTGTATTAATTTGATTGCTCTGAAGTAGCCAAAAGTCTCTTTTTAGGAGCTTAATTACTGATGCATATTTTTCTTTTGAATATTACCCATGCAGAATTATAAAGAAAAAAGCAAAACATCAGATACCCTAAAAAATGCAGGTAAGAAAATGAACAATATTCTTCTGCTGCTATTTTACAGTTACATGTTTTTTGGTAAGGTTTTTAAAGTTATGCTTTTTCCTGATTATAAAATCGATGCTTATTTTGGTACGGGAAAATGAGAACTTATTCATAATTACAAATGTTATCATCTTACAATTTTGGGTAATTGTTGGGTGAATAGGCCCTTTGGGATTTACAAGGTATGTGGATGTTAGAATCTGTGCTGTGGCTGCTTATCCTGATATACAGAGTAAGTTCCTAACATACTATACAATGCTTTGGGAGTTCCAGCATCAACAATTCTATCCAAGTAGGCCCTCACCTGCTACCACCATTCTTTCTCCTCAAACAGGTAACTGTATCCTATTTTCCATATCTCCTGGGCTAAGTCTCTTCCAGGTTTTGCTATTACTGAGGTGTTTTTTTTTCTGTACTGGAAATTGAACCCAGGTCCTTCACATCGAACTACATCCCCATCCCCACCCCTTTTTTTCATTTTTAATTTTGAGATGGGGTTTTTCTAAATTTCCCAGACTAGGCTCAAGCTTTCAATCCATCCTCCTGCCCAGCCTCGAACCATGCTGTGATTATAGGTGTGCTCTACCACACCTAGCTGCCTCCCAAAAAGCTTGCCATGTATATTCTACATTGATACACACATAACACACTTGTGAAGAACACTAGGACATCTCCACCCAGGTACCTATCAGACCCTTCAAATCTAATACGCACAAAACCAAATGTGTCCACTTCCAGTAAACCCAAAGCCTGCTCCCTATTCCTCCTATTTTTGTCTAGGCACAAAGCCTGACTCATCTTTGACTTTTTCTGATTGCTCATAGTGCATGTCCCAGAGTTTTCCCATCCTATTCTACTTCTTACATTCTCATAACTTTCCTGATTGTACCACTCCTGCCCTAACTACTGCAATAATTTGCCTTAAATCTCTTCTTCCTTTTTATCTATACTATATGTCTTTATGAGTGTGATCTTCCTGAAAGACAGCTTTGGACATCAATTCCTATACTTGACAGTCCTCAGAGGTTTCTCCTTGCCGGCTGAATAAATTGCAAAACAGTTCATTCTGCTGGAGTGGGAGGTGGGTGAGGGGAAATTACCTGGCCATGGAAGTTCAAGCCAAAGGTTAGAGAGTTTAGGTCTGTCCTTGAGGCAGTGGTGAACCAGTGGCCTTTTCAGGCAGAGAAATCCAAAATGGCATCAAGTCATCTTATCCAGAGATCTACTGCCTTATGTTGCAGAAATAAATGTGTCCTTGACTCTGTTAAGTGTAAACAATATGACAGCCCAGCAAAGAGAACTGTATCCTTTTCTCATATTTAACAATACCTCTTGTTTTCTCCAGGAATGAAAAGTGCCTTCCCTCACTTTGAAGTTGCTCCTCTGAAAACAAATGGCACTGAACCATCTCAATTATGTACGCCAGAGCAAGCAGCAAGGGACACTTCTTTATTATGAGATGTGAACAAAACCAAAAAAGTATGAAATTATGATCAAGATTGGTAAAAAAAAAAAAAAAACTTCATGCATTAAATGACTACTTATAAAAGCATTCTCTAAAATGAACCATTCTACTGTAAGATATATTTTGGTACCAGGGATCAAACTCAGGACCCTTTTGCTTACCAGGCAGGTGCTTATGCTGCTGATCTATCTCCCCAGCCCTCAAAAGATTTTATAAGAATTCAAGTGTGGACTCTATATCAGTCATGGGTTACTTGTCTACTGACACCCAGGTTACCAGTTATGTTAGTGTTGCCATGTTAAAATTGTGGGGAGTTACCAGTAGTAACTTGTAAACTGGCAAAGAAAGCCCAAGGTTTTAAATTATTAGATCCAAAATTTGAATATTATAGTTGCCTAGATTGTATATGTTGTGCATGTGTATTACTGGGGCTTGAACTCAAGAAACATTGAGCAACATCCTCAGCTAATCTTTTTAAGTTTTATTTTGAGACATTGTCTTGCTAAGTTGTCCAGGCTGGCCTCAAACTTGCCTTTGTCCATTTTTGGGTTCTCAAATAGCTGGGATTACAGGCATATAGCACCACAACCAGCGTGGCTTGGTTCCTTATAGTGATCACCAGAAGCAACTTGAATGTTCCCGCTCAATAGCTCTTAGTTATAGGCTCACTAACCAGTGGACTACAAGAACGTGAAGGCATCTGCTTGTGCCCTGCAGAGAAAGCATCAAATTAAGTATTTGTGAATCACTGTTTAGTGCCAATAGCATGCAGAGGCAACTATCTTGTCTGCCTGTCCCCTTGGTCACCAGTGTTCAGCCATCGAATGTTACAAATTGAATAGCAGATGTTCACAATTTAGCCTCTGGTCACAGCATAGATTGTCTCTGTAGCTGCCACCCTGGTGCTATTATAGGAATCATACCCACATCACATGCTTTGCTATGTTAGCACTGTTTTAACTGTTTCCACTACTCAAAAAAAAAATAACATGGCTTAAGAGAGAGATATTTCATTGTGGAGGAAATTTACTGAAGTCTTCCCAAATGCATTCTATGTAACTAAGGTAGAAGGTAGCATCATTTGTTATATGTTAAAAGCATAGTGAGTGATAGACACCTTTATGTGTAAAGGCTACAATGTCACATGTCCACCAATATGCTTCTCTGTATAAATGAACATTTATGAAATACCTTTTCCTGTTGAATTTTTCCCCTAACCAGTATATAGTGGCCTTCTTTATTTCACTTGATCATGCTTGGTTTGAAGTTGAGACTGTCTGAGAATAGGATTGCTACCCCTACTTTTTTCTAAGGTGTTGGGGCATGTAGTATTGTGTTCCATCCTTTGACTTTCAGCCTATGAATGTCTTTATGAGTTAAATGTGTTTCTTGTATACAGCATATTGTTGGACTT